TTGACATGTATAGATGACTGTCATTTAAAATGTAGGATTGGAGACTGGGATAACAAGAGTACGGGAGCAGGGACTCAACAACAGTTGTATAGCAAGGGGACAAATGATCTTTTTATTTATTTATTTAGAAAACTTATATGGCTGCCTACTTTATACAAGATAATCCTAAACAGCTCACAGCAACATTCATAAAATATAATCCCACAAAACCCCACAAAAAATCATACTTCCCACCGGTGTCACAGCATCTCACTGACTACATTTAATTCTGAAGTTTAAGACCTATCAAAAATCTAAGTCTGAAACTTTTACTTCTAAAATAGGAAATGTATAGATTCTATATTAGTATATCTACTGCATATTATTCTCAAGTATCTTTCTCCATTGTACAATTCAGAGGGACTGTGACAGTACCCTGTTTCAGCAAACCATGCATCTTATGACTCCTTAAAGACCTTAATCATGATATAAGTTTGCAAAGCCTGCAGCCACTTGATCCAGGCAGTGGGATCTCTAGCAAATGCTGATTTAAGAGCCCTGACATGCTAATGAAAAATAACTATAGTATTAATACCTGACTACTATCCACATAACAACTACAAAACCTGACTCCCAAAGTCACTATCTTGTTAATCAGAAAATTATTTCACATTGCATCAAAAAGCAATTTTGCAATACCAGACAACATCTGAATGCAGCTCCTTTACCACCCACCAGTGATCTCCTCCCTGCAAGGCTAAGTTCCACAAAGCAAGTCAGAAACCAAAACATTACAGTACACGCTAATATGTCCAAACACAGTATAGTGGTATTCAGTTGCCTTCTCTTCTTCAAAGATCCCCTCTTCACACATGTCCTCAGAACTAAGCATCTAAGGGGAATTTTCTTTGGAAAGGATTACATGGGTGACTGTAATCCAATCCACATTCCAAATAATTCCTTATTTGCAAACACTGCACACACACTCCCATGTAGAAAAGTTGGAGCACCTGTGATTAAAACAACTCTGGATTAATAGACGTAGATACTATCCTAGGAAAGTAGTACTGTATAATATAGATACTATCTTACATTATCATGAGCAAGTAAAGATTGGCAATCTTAAATAGCAATTCCCCTTTTTCTCCTTATAAATGGGTTGGCCATTTTAGCAAAGAAACTTTATTAATGGAAATGCTATTCAGCCAAGGAGGAGAAACTATAAGGCTTCAAACTTCAAACGCTATTGCTGATTGAGGCAAGGACACACTTGGCTGACAGTGATTACAGGCAGTTTTTACATTTGTGAAGAAAATTATGTTTCTGCTTTTTCTTTTCAAAAACAAGTTAGCAGTAGTATTTAGTTGCATGTACTATACTGAAGCTTTTTTTTCACATTTTAAAAAATCTTCGTTGATCATATATTACAACAGATTTAAATACAAACAACGTGAACCTGACATTTCAGTATACAGGGGTATAAAACTTTAGAATATGATTTATCTTAAAATATGATGAATTTAAAAATCATACAAACTTAATACTATTTTTAATTGAGAATACACTCCAGAACCTAATAAATGGGAGAAGTCAGGCAGAAATAATCATGTATTAATTCTCTACATTACAAAATCTTTTCAGAAGCTATTATCAGAGCAAGAGGCATTGTGGTTGAGATTCAGGGTGGGAGAAATCCTTTGTGCAACTGAAAGCTATTGTTCCTCTGTACTGATGAAATTGTACTTGCAAATCTGCCATTCAAGGAGGCCAAAAAAGGAGTGGGGGGAGTCCAAAGCAGAAGAAAAAGAGTGACGATAAAATAATTATTTCTAACTATAAACTTGAATTAATATACATTTGGCCTCAGGGTTTTCTTTCCAACATATTGCAAACTGACATTTAAGTCCAAGAGAAATTATCTATATTACTACCCTGAAAAGTGCAATAGTAGCTACATTTTTTAGGACTATTCCACTGAAATCAATAGACCTTGTTTTAGGGAATCCATTTATTGGGAGCACATTCTTGATTGAACTAAATAAAAATAAATACCTGAAGTTTAAATTAACAATGACCTTTAAGTGGAATATAGAAGACAAACATTTCTCCTTGGAAGAAAGGAAGTGCAAATTAATTGTGTATCTTTAGTTTTTGAAAATCTCATTAGGAAGGGTATACACTAAAGTCTTCCTTACACTAAGTTGGGATTTTTAATGCTTTGGACCTTATTCTTTACAATTACACTCATTAGCATTTCAGTGCTTAATAACTTTTTATGGAATTAAAGTAACATAGTATTATCTCTGAGGAACACATCCCAAAAAGTTTGTAAAAGCTCTCATCAAATCAACTGAATTGATATCTATTGAATGTAGGATGCAATATAACTGAACAAGGCCTGATGGTATCAAACAGTACTTAGACACAACCATGTTCTTTTTTACTGACTACCAGATTCTTCACCACAGAATAAGATCTTTCTCCTTAGTGTTTCAGTCTCATATGAGATTCTTCAAAATGGGAAGAGGTTTGGATCCAAGGAGGGAAAGAACATCCTCATAGTTCTCTGTTCTCCAACAATGCTTTGGATGTTGCTTCAAAATTATTTTTAGCAGATGTCAGTTCATCATCTGAAACAAGGTCAAATGAATGCTTTCACGAAGGCGGAAGATGGAGACAGCTGCAGTCAAAGAAGAAGGTACTTTTCCTCCTTCTTTGAGACTCTATCAAGAGGTTGGAAAGATTAGACAAAATTGACATATATAAAAAGCAGATGGATTTCTGGGAACTCCAGCTTATTCAAATCACTGAGAAAGGTCATGGCATGAACCACAGATCTATTCATCTGAAGGGGCACAATGATCCTTCCTCAACCTTCAACCCCACAAAGAACTGGGGAGGGGGCTACTCTATACATTTAAGAAGGATTAATATCCATCAACAAAGAGAGAACCTATTAGATTCAGCAAATTTTCAAAGATGCCATCATGGCATCTTTTTAAAAAAGATAAATAATGTGTTGTTTTCTCATTAACAAGAGAAAGCAAAGATAGAATGCAGCTACAATTCTTTATTACCCCCATTTTTCAGGGTACTGCATTCGTTACATTAGGACATGCTAAAATGTTAATACTATCCAAAAGGTTACAGGAAATTTGGGGTAGGATATACATTTATGTGTAAAATTCAGAACTCTTCTTACATTTTTTCTAGGCATCTCCTACACCAAGCAGAAGAAGGAAAAGAAAAGAAAAAGGAAGAAATGATTGATATGTGTAAAGCATAGCTGAAATTTTTTTAAAGACTTGAATTTCATTTGACATGTACCAGATTTCAACAGGATCAGATCTGTTGAAGTATTAGCATTTTCCTCTTGATTGTTTAGTCTGGCCACATATATTTCACTATATACAACTACTTATTGTTTAAATAAACACACTTTTCTGTGGATAGATTTCATGTGCTTTAATTTATGTGTATTAATATATACACCATTTGCTGTTATTTTACAAATACTACACATTCATACAGAGCTGATTACTGGCATATTTTCATTGTTTCCTGTCATCTTTTCAATATCCTGATTGCTTAACAATATCTATTGCACACATTTAATTTATGTGTATTAATATATACACCATTTTCTGTTATTTTACAAATACTACACATTCATACAGAGCTGATTACTGGCATATTTTCATTGTTTCCTGTCATCTTTTCAATATCCTGATTGCTTAACAATATCTATTGCACACACACAATTTCTATTAACAAAATCCCATAAAAATAAACACACTTATTTTACATTATATATAGTTCATATGAGATAGAGATGACAGAAATCCTGAACATACTCCTCCCCCCATAACCACAACATCATCTATGAAAATCAGGGGTACAGATTGTGAGTTGGTGACTATTGATATGGAATCATACACACAAACACGAACAATGCACTTGTTCATCACCAGATAAGAACCTCTGGGAGGACTGTAAGGAAAACAACTATGCCAAACTTTGCTGTCTACCTTGCAAGTGCATTTCCAACACAAGCTCAATAATGATTGGAGGAAACCACGCTGAATTACATCTCATTCTCAAATTTCTGTGCGTTGCTATGCAAGGATCACAACCAAAGTACAGTATGCCTTATGAAAAACTGCCGTTTCTAGAACCAGTGGAGTGCTTCTGAATAAAACAAGCAGAAAGCCAGTGCTGGGGCAATGCAATCAAGGACAGAGGAGACCAGAAATCCTGACGGAGATTTGTAAAAGGCTACAGAACCCAGCAAGGGCTTCTTTCAGTAACCTTTGAAGAAGGACCACCTCGGGATGCCAAGCATAGCCATGGGTGAAGGGGAAAGAGCCGTCCATCGCTTAAAGATGAATCCTCCACCTCCAACTGCCTGCCATCCTGGGGGATGATTTTTCCCAAGAGAAATCTCTTTTCCCCAATCACCGCCCCCCATCCCACCCTCCGAGAAAGAGGGGGAAACTCAAACGAAGAACTGGGAAGTCCTGCCTGACTCTGAGGGGTCAGGGGCGCCTGGGCACCCACGGCCGGTGGAGATGAGGCGATGGTGGCGGAAGAGGGTGCGTGTTTTCGGTGGCCAGAGGACCCATCAGCGCTCGCCAACCTGGCGAGGAGGAAGAAAGCGGCCAACTGTCGGCGGCAGGCCGAGCCAAGCGGCGCCGCTT